CCCCAAAACCCCAAAACCCCAAAACCCCAAATGAAACCAAGAAGGTTGAATAGATAAATTTCAGTGAATGCTTGGGCAAAGTATTGTAGAGTTTTAAAAATGAAGAGGACGATATGTTTGTTACTCCTTTTTAGAATCATTTTTAGGGTCTTTCTTTGGATCTTTAGAGTCACTTCAGCTTTCTTCTCTGAGTTTTCTTCTTTTTCTTGGTGTCTGCTTGTTTGAGTCACTAGGCTCATTTTCTGGAGTATAGGAGATCTTTCTCAACTTTCTGTTTAAGTTGCCTTCAAATTCTTTACCAAGGTCAGATCTAGCTAACGATGCATTTGGGTCATACAAGTCAGGGTTAACATTGATTCTCTCTGGGGGCATAGAATACAGATTTCCCAAAAGATTGAAGCTATTTGGTTCTTCTCTAGCATCGCTGATACTATTACCAAAGCTGTTTGCTAATGGGTTAAAGCTATTTATTGAATTGGTGTCAGGTTTATCATCACTAAAAAGGTTTATATCGCCTCAGTTTTCATCATGATTGGGTCCTGCAATTATTTTCTGCTGATCTATAACTATTATTTTGTTTATGTATGATATTTAGAGATAGCCAAAGAAGATTGAACTATCAGCTTATTAAAACCTCATTCTAAACCATGAATGAAAATTTATTTTCAAGTTTCACAATTCCATTCTATGCATGCAATCAAACCCAATATGCGGCTAAAGTATCCGAGAAGATTTCTGCAGAGTCTATAAATGAAAAACACACCGAAAAAAGCAAGGCTAAGATTTGGCAAACTGGAGCTAATATACTTCAGATTTTTCAAAAATCCTAAAATTTTGAGTACAAATTCATCTTGCATTCACAGTTTTAGGAGCCTTTACTATAAAATAATGAACAACTTTATTTACTCCACTAAAATTATACTTAACAATAACAGCTCAGGTATTGTATGATCATTCATACAAATCCAATGCTCAAATATGGAACGAAGTCTTACTATATTTTTCTGATCCTGCTTCTGCCTAAAACAAATTTAAGTGAGGGGTGAAATACTGCCAAAGGAAGCCAAAAGAATGTGGTCTAGGAATCTGTGGTCAGATAAAGTAAAAGAGGAAAATAATTTACACTGTTTTTGCTTTGCCCTTCATTGCTTTTGTTTGATTTACTCTCTTCTATTTTATTTATGGCTTCCTTGAGATTTATTATCTTTAGATTCCTCGCTATTATGAGCATCATTACTGCTTTCTTGGTTATCAGAGCTTGCCTCTTGCTTATTTAGTTGCCTGCATTGCAACCTTTTTGTTTTGATCCTCTTTATCATCTGAGTAATTTTTGATTCCTGTAGAATATCACTCAAAAAATTGATAATATCTCACCTTTCAGTTGGATATCTTGACTGGGTTGAGAAAGCTGATTTTTAGGTGATGCATTTTGTGCAGATGAAGAATCTTTCTTAGGCTCATTCTTAATCTTCACTAGACTTGGCAAATTTTGATCTTTTCAAAAATTAAAAGAAGGCCCAGGCTCATTATCAGTAAGTGGGATAGACAATGGAGGATCTTTCGCAGAATGCTCACCAATAGGATCCATACTTTCAGAATTGCTCACGTTCCCGCTACTTCCAATCCTAGTGTGCCCAAACACAGTCCTCGGCAGTGCTGGAGCCCCAGTATCTCCTCCTTCATTACTAACGCTACTAGCTGCCCTACTGACAACCCTTAAGTGTTCACCTTCTCCTTCGTTTTCTACATTCTCAGGTTTATTTTCTTCTTGGCCTTCAGCCTGGTGCTTGTCTTCTTCCTTCTCTGAGATTTCGTCCGGAAGGTTTGAGTCTTGTTCCTTGCTGTTCTTGTTTTGGCTCATTTTTATTAGTAAATCAAGATAAAAAATCAAGGCTTGGAATTTTTATGGGGTTTTGGGGTTTTGGGGTTTTGGGGTTTTGGGG